TCTTTTAGATCGCCTCATAACAATTGTGTCCATTTATTTGCCACCAAACGTTCCATTGCAACTTCACGAACTCCAAGGGCTTGTAGGGCAACTCCCTCAACCCTTCTTAATCTTAGGAGATTTTAATGCCCATCACCCTATGTGGGGCAGTACTTGCCTTGATTCTCGAGGCCGAGTAATCGAGCGGTTTTTATTATCATCTAACTTGTGTATTTTTAACGGGAAATAACCTACTTTTTTTAGTTCTGCTCACAACTCATTTACATCCATTGACCTTTCTATTACATCACCTTCATTACTTCCATGCTTTTCAAGGAAGGTTTTTAATAATCCTTTTGGGAGCGATCACTTCCCTATCGTTTTAGAGAGTACTGGCTCTCTTCCGACTCTTTTAACGCGAATGCCTCGGTGGAAGCTAGACAAGGCAGATTGGTCTATCTTTCAATTGGAGGCACTAATTGATTCTTCTATAATCTCGAACATGAACCCAGATGAAGCAACACTGTATGTCACAGAGGTTATAATAAGCGCTGCCACTCGGAGTATTCCTCAAACGTCTGGTCGTCTTCCTAAAAGATGCAAGCCTTGGTGGAATGATGATTGTAAAACAACACGAAAGTCTCAGAACAAAGCTTGGTGCATCTTTCGTAGATATCCGACTTCTAGGAACTTACTTGAGTTTAAGAAAAGAAGAGCTAAAGCTCGCTGGACAAGACGCCAGGCGAAGGGAAGCTCCTGGAGGACGTATTTGACGTCCTTAAGTAGCTTTGTACCTGCAAAAGAAGCGTGGGATCGGCTTAGAAAAATTAGAGGTGACTACTTACCTTTCAGAATTCCACTTTTGCCTGCATCATCTTCAACGTCCCTGAAAGATCAAGCGAATGTTCTTGGGGAACATTTCCAAGACGTTTCTAGTTTACGCAACTGCAGTGAAGCATTTAAAAAGTTCAGCGCAACAGCAGAGAAACAATCAATCATTCTGTCTGGGGCTCGTGATGCTCCATACAACAGGCCTTTTACACTCTCTGAGCTCGAACTGGCTCTCAGTGTAAAGAAACAGTCTGCTCCTGGACCAGACAATATTCATTATGAGATGCTGAGGCACCTGTCACCTGATTCTCTAGACAGTTTGCTGACCTTTTATAACTCATTGTGGCACTGCTCTGCATTCCCCGAGGTTTGGAAAAGAGCACATGTAATCGCTCTTCTGAAGCCTGGTAAGGATTCTTCTCAACCAACTAGCTACCGTCCCATTGCGCTCACAAGCTGCTTGGGAAAAACCAACGAAAGAATGATTAATCGACGTCTCATTCATTTCCTGGAGACTGAGAATGTGCTTCACATTAATCAATGTGGTTTTCGAGCTGGACGTTCCACCCTTGACCACCTGGTCCGCCTTGAAACCTCTATTCGGGAGGCATTTGTACACCGCCAGTTCTGTCTCTCTGTGTTCTTTGATCTGCAGAAGGCGTACGACACGACCTGGCGCTATGGGATCCTACGGGATCTTTATGCTTACGGTGTTCAGGGTCGCATGTTGCGATGTATACAAAACTTCTTAATGGGACGTACCTTCCAAGTACGTCTGGGCTCCACCTTATCGGACGTGTTTTTTCAAGAATGTGGTGTCCCTCAGGGAGGGGTGCTGAGTGTCACACTTTTTGCTGTTAAAATCAGTAGCCTGGCTAAGGTGATACCACCGACAGTGTCTTATTCTCTGTGTGTGGATGATGTGCAAATTTCAGTTTCTTCTTGCAATCTGCATAGTTGCGAACGTCGGCTGCAACTGACAATCAACAGAATGAGGAAATGGGCAGCCGAAAATGGGTTTCGTTTTTCCCCCGACAAAACCGTATGCGTTCCTTTTTCGCTGCGTCGAGGGTTGTCACCGGATCCTACCTTGCATCTGAATAATCATTCCATTACTGTAAAGGAGGCGCATAAGTTTCTAGGCGTGATATTCGACAAAAAGCTCACATTCGTACCCCACTCGAAAGAACTGAAACAAAAATGCCTACGATCTTCCAAAATTCTTAAGGTGCTGTCTCACACTACTTGGGGGTCTGACAGACGATGTCTGCTGCGAATTTATAACTCTCTAGTGCGGTCCCGGTTGGATTACGGTGCACCGGTATATGCGTCGGCACGACCATCTGCTTTAAAGATGTTAGACCCAATCCATCACTTGGGGCTGCGTCTAGCCACAGGTGCTTTTCGCACATCGCCCTGCTGAGTCTATATGCTGAAACGCATCAGATGTCGCTTGAGCGACGCAGACATTATCTTAGTCTCTGTTATGCCTACAAAGTTTATAGTGATCCGTACCACCCTTCCTTCTCCGCTCTGCAGACCTCTGCATCACTGCGCCTTTTTGAGAATAAGCCTAGTATTGTTCGGCCCTTGAGCCTTCGGGCTGAGAGCATGGCAAGGTCGCTGCACCTTTCTTTTGATGAGCCTCCCTTTTTGAGACAGGCCTATAGGGTCGCTCCTTGAGACTTGGTGCCAATCTATTGTGATTGGTCCCTTTCAAGGTACAACAAAAAGGTTGTTCCTCCTTTTGTTCTCTTGCGGGAGTTCGCAGAGCTAGAACAGAAATATAGTGACTATCTCCACTTTTACACTGATGGCTCAAAAACATCGACTTGCGTAGGCTGTGCAGTTTGTTCTCTCGCTTTCAGCGAAGTTAGGCAGCTCAACCCTCTAGCAACTATTTTTACCGCCGAATTGTATGGTATCCTGATTGCTGTTGAATATATTCTAGAAAATAACATTAACAAAGCAGTTCTGTTTGTTGATTCCCAAAGTGTTCTCTTAGCTATTTCATCTTTAGCAGACAGCAAGAACGCCCTTGTGCAACAGGTTCGTTTTCAGATAAACAAAGCTTTCCATCTAGGACAACTTATAAAATTCTGCTGGGTGCCCAGTCATGTGGGCATTCCTGGTAACGAGAATGCAGACCACCTTGCACTTTCTGCAAAAAACTACACGGAAACGTCTTTTGGCCTGCCACACCAAGACCTCAAGCCAGCCTTAAACAAGTCAATTATTAAGTTATGGCAGCTGGATTGGGACACGCAGATCGATAACAAACTCCACATTATTAAGCCCAACTTAGAAGTATGGGAGAGTTCCTCCCATAAGGACCGCCGTTCGGAAGTCCTTTTGTGCCGCTTGAGAATTGGTAATTCTCGATTGACGCACCTGCACTTGCTCTGCGGTGAAGATGTAAAGCTCTGTGAAAAGTGTGGGAAAGTGTTAACTGTCCTCCACATCCTTTGGAATTGTAGATTTCATGATTATCAACGTCGAAGATATTTTCCTGAACTTTTCAGAAATCACCTTCCATTTCATCCTTATTTTTTGCTTGGTGATAGACCCTTGGTACCATTTGCTCGCGTTTTAAGTTTCATACATGCAATTGGATTTTTGCACCTGATATAGGTAGACAAGTAAGTTTAAACGTAACTGCATGCTAGGCTTTTTAAGTTAACTTTCTTGGCGCAATATGGCCACAGTCGCTTTTGCGCCATTAAACCCCAATCATTCATTCCAGAAATCCACGAGGGCACATAAACTCCTTCCTCATGGTGAGCGGAGTCAGTTTCGCATCAGCGTTTGATCCCGCTGCTTCGCGCCCTCGACGCTCGACGCCTCGACACTCCGTTGTCACCTTTTTTTCTTTTTTCTTTTTGTTTTGGGCACAAGTTCACCCATTAAACGTTTAGTTTCCTCCGTTATCCTTTGTTTCATTACCTCTTCATTCGTGACAATATAGATCACGTGACATCAGTAGACGTCACGTGATCTAAAAACCTTCGTGTCCTTTTTTTTTTTTTGCGCCTATCTTTGATCATGAGCCAATTGGCCCTAATTGCAATCTTAGTGTTTAAAAACTAGTTAATTAAAGAAAAAGTTTCTTTCTTCGAATTCTTTTTTTTTTTCGTTTAAAAATGTTTTACATAAAAAAAAAGTATATATATGCAGGTGACCATAAAGCCCGGAACACTGCGGCCGAACGTGAGCTTCCCGGAAGCGTCTCTCGGCGGGCGCCGGAGGTCCACAGTCTTCGTCACCCCAGCCGATTGGCCGAAAGGGGAAACAGAACACGAACCTCGCACCCCCGAGCGAAAAGTCCCGAGGTGTGAATCTCTCGACACACACAACGCAGGAAAGGTAAGTCTGATACGCGATCAGAATAGATAAACATGATTTCTTTTTGTGCCATCTGAACAAATTCGGTGGTCAACGTCCTTTTTTCTTCCTTTTTTGTATACGTGGGAACACAGAGAACAGATCGAACGAAACGCGCAGAGAGAACGATGTACTTGCGCTCCATGCGGAGAGAAACTAAAGGAGAGGAGGAGATGAGAGTGTTTGGTGACGTAAGAGAGCCAAGCCCTAATTAGAAGGACTAGCGTCAAGGGCTAGTGGCCTTTGTCTTTGCCCGCTGTCTCCCTCCACTAAGAGCGAACAAGAGCGTCCTCTGCTTCTCGCGTTTGGGTCTGGCGTACACGAAAGTCAAACGCCGGCGTCCGGCGTTCGAATGCCAGACTCTCCACAAGAAGCAGACTGCGTTCGACTTTATGTTTGACTGCTATGGAGTCAATGTGACTGAGATCTCGTAGCTTTGTGAAGTCCTCTCTTGGTACACGAGCACAGGCGCAGTTATCATGTCATCCGTTTCGCGCTGCAGTCAGAAACTGTCTCGCGCTACCAGACTTCTTGCGAACTGCGGTTACAACCGGTCTCGCGCTTCCAGTTTTCGCTCAAGTTGAGAATAAAATTTCAATCACAGTTTCCCTTTCCACTACGGACACGAACTACTTCAGAAAGCGGCGTAACTCTGTGAACAAGTATTTTGTCCTGGCCGAAGTTGACGAGGAAATATGGAAACTAAACTGAGTTGACTATATAGCGCTAAGACCAAAATATGCCAGGCATACGTCGCAGTCGTTCGAGAAAAGAGCGAAGGTGACGAATTTCGCGTAAAAAAATAACTAATGAAAATAATACACCTGTCCTTGCAGCCCGACCATCACCAGGACTACGGTATTTCCTCCAGAACTGAAGATAAAAATTTCCAAAGGTTGCTCGGAGGTTTCATGGTAGCACTGTTCGTCGGCCTGTCCCTACTGGTCCTAGGCGTCTTGTTCTCTCTCCATATCGTGCGCGGCGCACCCTTAATGCTGACCCCTGGACCCTGGTGCACCTCAGACGGATGCTTGCAGCAGGCGGGGTACCTCCAAAGAAGCGCGAACACGTCCGTGCGACCGTGCCAAGATTTCTACTCATTCGTTTGCCACAACTGGGCACCAGACCGAAACTCCCAACAAGTCGAGTACATCGCTGACGTCCCAGCCGAAATGAGGAACCACTGGAGACTAAAGAACGCAGCGCTACTGTTCAACGGCAGCTTAGAGCCTCCTTCATTTGAGAGGGCTTCGGCGGTCTTCAAGGCGTGTATCTTGAGAACTGAAAAAGATCAAACAAGCGATCTTGAAAAATTTAAAACGATAATGCGGGACGCGGGCATTCCTTGGCCGGATGATCCGTCATCCTTGAAGCACCCGCTGGCTGTGCTTCTGGACTTGGATGCCAATTTGGGAGCCCCAGTGTGGTTTAAAGTCAGAGTTCAGGGCGATCTAGGCAGTCCGAGGGTGGTCATTGAGCCGAATTACTTGTACGACACTCTTTATAAAGGTCTCGACAAGCCCACAAGTATCAAACGCATGGCTGAGTTTCACCAGATGTATGGCACCCAGCCCAATACGACGGAGCTAGAAGAATCGGCGGATTTAGATATGCTCATCGCAACTTCTCTTCGTGACAGCCTGGAAAACCGTGAAAATAATCCTCAACTCACAAGTATTGGCGATCTCCATCATATTACCCCCGATATAAATAGTAGCTACTGGCTGTCCCTCTTCAACCACCACTTTGAACAAGCTTTATTGGAAAACAACGACGCGATTCTCATCCAAAATGCTCAACTGCTTTCCTCAATCACTTTCTTTGTCGGAAATATTTCCAACAAGAAGATGCTTCACGTAATCGGGTGGTGGTTCGCTCAATTATACACAAGCGTGGCCGACGTAAGGGCACTCCGAATTATTTTTGGTGCGTTAGATAAGAATTTACTCGGTGCAATTTGCCTTCACCAGATAAAGCAGCGATACGGTGCGGCCGTGCTGACCGGATACGTCGGGAGCCAGTTTACCAAAGAGCACAAGACTGCCGTAGAAAGAGTGCTGAATAGCGTACAAATCCAACTTACAAATAAACTTCGGAGTGTGAACTGGACCACCGAAACACGAAGAGAAGAGATGCTGGAAAAGGTTAATTCCACCAGAATTTACATATGGCCTTCGCCAGCGTTTGAAGTGACGTTCAACGAGACGTTTCCAGAAGCCCCGTCTTCATATTTCGATTTTTGGGCAACCAGGACAAAATCGTTACGCGAACAGAAGGCATCTCAAAAGAAGCGGCGCAACGACATCAACCTACTGCCGGGCTACACGGATCCGATGTTCAGCTACGACCAGTGGGAGAACGCAGTGTCGATATCCTTAGCAACACTGTCTCCGCCTTGGTATTACAAGGACGGGAGCGCTGCGATCATCTACGGTACCCTCGGCTGGCACTTCGCTAGAACTTTATCCATGGCCATCGTTAGCACAGTAAGTTTATTTCTCAAAACGTGATTGTTCAGTTGTGCCTGTGCTGTCAAACAAGCACCGAGCAAAAAAAAAAAAATCAATTCCATCAATTGTTTGTTTACGGCCGCTGTTGAATCAGGAGGCTGGCACATGCCGTATGCCACACGTCACCACTTTGCGTCATCCCTATTTGTTTACTTCGCATCAAAGCTACCTGCCTTCGCTAGTGTGGAGCGATTCACAATTCCCCTTATAACATAAACAAGATGTGTCATCGGCAGACACCAAGCATGTGTCACTGAGACACGTGATTTTTTTTTTTTCTGCCATGGTACTTGGCTTAAGATGTTAGATCTCAGCAGCTTCCCCGCGTACGCACCGCTTCCTCTAAATCGAGCACTCACCTGATTTCCGCCCCTTCTCGTTGGTGATTACTCCAATTTTAAACCTCAAATCTAAAGATCCTTTCACCCGCGCGGCAGGTTTGAGCCTTCATAACTGAACTTCTGTTGCCTCACCAAGACGCCCAGCCGCTGAAAAGCGTAATGGGGTGATTTCAGATAAGATCGACCAAAGGATGGCTAGTCGACATTTTCAAATCAACTGATGTTTTTATATGTTATTGTCTAGTGTCTGGTATGAACGAATCCAAACTTAGTTTTGACTAGAAAAAATACTTGGGGACAGGAAAAATCGTAATGCATGAGGTGGTGGACAGTTGCATTAACGCGCACTGATGGAGGGGGCCCGTTTGAGAGTGAATAACTAAAGCGATAACATTAGGAGAACTCTAATACGTTTTAGGCTCAAACTATGGGTATAGCTTGCTTGTAATATAAAGTAATCATATTTATTTAAAATTTATTTATTTTTCTAAAAATTGACAAACATGCCTGCTCGAACGACAAATGGCAAACTTTGGAGGCCTGTATCTCATGAAATAATTTAATCATTATGATATAATTTGCAGATATTATTCTGCTAATATATAGCTAATATTTAAAAAATAACTAAGGTATCTGTGTGATACAATAGTTAGGATATATTTAGTCAAACATGGAAAAAAAATCAAACAAAGAAAAATTCCGATGCGAATAAAAAAAAAACACCACCCTCGATTTTTTTTTAAATTTAGGTAACCTGTTATACTCTATTTCGGCATTCATTTCCATTAAAAACATGTTGCATCATTTTATTGAGAGAGAAGATACAACTCCCCAAAGTAGGGTCCTTTTTCAAAGCCTACACTTAGCAGTGTTTTATACAAGAACTGACTCTGAATTCCAGTTTCATGAAACCAACACACATCTTTTATATATTTTTATTCAGATGAGGCCAATGATAACTAAAGAAATCGTTCACACACTTAAATTAAGGAGAAACTACTGTGTACAAAGAGGTATCATATTACGGACTAATGATCCGAGAAAAGATCATGCAGCCATCGGCCACTAGGAACTTTGTTTACTTTATTCTCCTGCGACACTATATGCTATTCCCTCTTCCGCTCTACCTTCATCTCTCTCTCTCTCTCTCTCATATATATCCCTGATATATATCCAGAACAAAAACATGTTCAAGCATTCCCTTTCTGCGAGGTAGTGTTCTGTGGCTAGCAAAAATCATTTCCTCGCTAAGCTCACGATTATGGCAAAATAGTTGCCGGAAACCGCAGACGACACTCGTCGCTAGTTCTGGCAAAACGGCCGATACAATCTTTTTTTCGCATTTCCCCGCTCGCTGTCAAGGACAAGGGGGTTCGCTTCAACCAGCAAAACATGGCCGCCGACGCCTGTTTACTGAGCAGTCATGCCTGTCGCCATCTCACTCGCTGGCGTCACGGGCGATAATATCTGGCACAAAGGGGCACACCAACCGGCAGCATTATCCCCAAATACTCGAGCCTCGCGTAAATACATAGAGTGTAAACGCTGTCGCCATGTTATCGTAGTAAGACCCCCCCCCCCCCTCCCCCAACGGGGGACTGCAGTACGCGACGGCGTACTAACACAACGGCGACGATATCGACATCGCGGGCTCCGAATTTTTCCATAGTTCTACTCCACGGGCATTTCTCGAAACGCTTGATATTGTGTACGCCCGCCTGGAAGGATTTCAGGCGCGTAGTTAAGATAAGGCGGTTCTCCGCGGCAAAAGAAAGCAATTTCACAAAAGCTTAAAAGCGGCGGCGACGCGTGTGCGGTGAACGCTTGTAGTTTTGGTGTAGACAGGGTGTGTGTGTTCTCGTTGTTGACACCAGCCGGCGATAAGGCACTGCAGGCGGTAGCTCAGTACAGCAAGGGCTAATCCGAGTGACCATCAACGTAACCCCACCGCCAACCCCTCGCGAACCGGTCGCCGACATGGCTCAGGCTGTGTCATGAACCACGTGGTAGAAGCTCGGGTGCTTTCATATCAGCGCGTGGAGGGACGACAGTGCGATTCCGGAAAGTCTTTTTCGAAGGCCGCTGACCACAATTTTTTTTGTCTGGAGACTTTCCCTCTTTCTTCCTTTGACGTGGATCAAGCTTTGCCGACAGCCTCAGTTGTGACCTCTCTTTTCAAATGTACGTTTGCAGTGAGTGAGCTCCTCAGCCTCGAACTTGTCACTTGTGCACCCAGTAGTTCTTTCACTTGGCAATTATATGCCATCAGTTGGGGTTTAATTTCTATTATTTATGTATACATTATGAAGACGTCCTGGAGCTCCGAACGAGTGTTTTGTGCAGATTACTTTTGCAAACACAAAAAGACTATACCAAAGCAGCGGAATTTTCGAAGTGTTGGCGAGTTGGACCTAAACTCGTTGAAGCAAATTCTTCCGCCTGACTGTTCCACCAAAGTGAGTGCGACGGACTACCTGTGCTACCATTGCTTCATGCACATCACTAAGGAGATCTCGATGCGAAGCTCAGAGCAGTGCCCTGACATATTTGTGCCAGCTGAAGAAGCAATTGAAGATCTAAATCGCAGCATACTACCTACAGATGTGTCGCCGCTGAGACAACCAAGCGTCGTAAGAAGTCGGGACAGGCCTGCCTATGTCAAGAGAAAGCAGACAGAACTGGAGCAGGTTGCTGTCAAGAACATACGCTCAAGGCTACGTATTGCGTACGACAGGGACGCACCATCGGGGTCGTCCGAACCAACATGCTCCACATGCACTGAGTGGGTGGACAACTTTCGGCAGGCCTTTGAAACCGCCACCTCTCTCCGGGAACGTTGTCAACTGCTTACACTCCTGCCGTCAACACTGACGAAGAATGAGGTTCAAAAGATGATTCCACAGGCCTCAATGTACCTCATCAGTAAATCCCGAAAACTCAAGGAAAAGCATGGCGTGTGGTATGAGCCGGATCCTTACACGAGGTGCAAGGTGAGCCCTGAGAACCTGTCTGCTGCCCTAGAGTACTTCACGAAAGACGAGCTACAATGTTGGCGCCAAAGTCCCAACCAGAAGGACGTCATCTCTGTCATGCTCAACGGAGAGAAAACGTTTGTGCCAAAGCGCTTCATGACACGCTCAATACGAGAGGCCTTCCGTATATACAAAGACAAGCATCCCGATTCCGGCGTTGGGCTAACGAAATTTTTTTCGTTGCGCCCTAAATGGGTCCAATGTATTCCACACCAGGAAGTGTGCGTTTGTGTGCGCTGCGCCAATTATTATCTTTGTATTGCCGCTCTAGAGAACGTTACAGGCTCAACATTCAACACTGGTGAAATGAACTCGGCATTTCTGTGCGACCCAGCAACAGAACTGTGCCTTCAAGGAGACTGTGATCACTGCCCAAAAGGCCAGTTTCTTACACTCCAGGAACTTGATATCCCGGAGGATGAAGAGATTGTGCTTGCAACATGGGAGTCCGGCGACCTTGTGAAAAAAACTTCGGAACCTGAGACTTTCCTAAAAGTCATCCAAGTGACGGTTGGAAGTTGGTTACTTCACAACCATATCCGGCAAACGCAAGGTAAAGCGATCTACGATGAAAAACAGTGCATGCAACGCGGGAGCATTGTCTTTCATTTTGACTTTGCTGAAAACTGGACCATCGTGCTTCCTGACGAAGTGCAAGCATATCACTGGAAAAAAAAAAAACAAGTTTCGATATTTACATGTGTAGTGACGACAAGAAATTCTACAAACAGCTTTGCCATCATCAGTGAGGACCTGTGTCACGACGCCGCTCACGCTTGCTTGGCTCTAGAAAAAGTGAAGGAGTGGGTTGAAGACAACGTTGCGGTATACTCGTACGTGACGTACGAAAGTGACGGCGCCGCCAGTCATTTCAAGAATCGCTACCAGCTTCACCAATTTGCAAAGGACGATTGCCCACAAGCCCAGTGGTTATTTTCTGCATCTGGACATGGGAAAAATGCATGTGACGGAGTTGGCGGACTCGTGAAGCACCAGGCCACGCTGAACAACCTGAGAGAACGTTCAGTAAGCGCAATTCAGACGGCCAGGACAATGGTGAGCGTTCTATCAAAGAAACTGAAAGGCGTGCATCTTGTATATCTGGACGAAAATGAGGTTGTTCGGTATCGTGAACAAAAAAAAAGAAGAGTGGCTGACGGTGCGCGCCTTCCCTGGCATTCAGTCTTGGCACGCGTGGCGGCTCAGCAAGTCATCAACAGAAGGGACCTGTGACGTATATGTAGCACGGACAGTCGGATCTGCTTGGAAGCAACTTTATTAAATGGGTACAGCGAGGAAAACCTTAGCGTAAAGTGCCGAATTTGATTTCCCAAGGACTGCTCATTTTGAATGCAGGGACATCTTATTTATCACATTTTTCTTCACGGGGTATTTAACCTACTGTTTTTGTTGGTGGTTACTAATAATTTTTATCTGATCACTATAAAAAAATCCCAAAATGTTATCCTCGAGCAGGATAAAATATATCGGCTTGCCACGATTCATTCATACACCGAGAGCATCTAAGGTGCTCCAGTTAGGCACTATAACATCCGTCACCTGAAATTGTTTGTAATCGTAAATACACAGCCAACCTAAATATCTTACTATTATATCTTTGTTTTTG